CAATGCTGAATTACAGAAAATATCTGCCTGGATGATGACTAACAAACTTACCCTGAATACTGATAAAACCTATTTCATTCATTTTGGAAATAAAGCTGCAAATGATCCAGTTAACATAACGCTAAATGGATCATCAGTCACAAGACTTACAGAGGGAAAATTCCTAGGTATCCACCTTGACAGTAGCCTTAAGTTCTAGACACACATACAACAAATCACCAAGAAAATCTCCAAGACTGTAGGCATACTATCAAAGATAAGGTACTATGTTCCACAATCAGTTCTCCTGGCACTGTACCATACACTCATATACCTTTATCTTACATATGGAATTTGTGCATGGGGATCAACAACATCCAATCACCTAAAACATCTCATAACCCAGCAAAAGGCAGCAGTAAGAATGATAATGAATTCCCACTCCCGCCAGCACACTCCACCATTTTCAAAAGTCTGAATCTGCTCACCATTAAGAACATACATAATTATTCATGTGCCACTACATACACAGAACAATACACACAAATATAAACCCTCCACTCAAACTTCTCCTCACCAACCTAAACAGGACACATGACCACAACACAAGACACAGATCTCTTTGTGATATACCTCGTGTCCATATCACACTGTGTAAAAACTCTATGCACATAAAGGGCCCCAAAATATGGAATTCATTACCAGAAGATATTAAAGTAACCCAGTCTGAAAATCAATTTAAGACTCTTCTCAAAGGCCACTTAACCACCCTAGACTAAATGCTAAATACTCAGTACACATTTACTCACCTATGTACTCCCACATCATAATTTCAACAATCACATTGAACCTTTTATCCATTGTTGACAGGAATATAATTGAACCATTGTTTTCACAAAAAGCATTTTCAAATATAAATGTATCTTTGTATTATACAAATTTTGATTCATTTATAATTAATAATCTACTGTTCAACTATGAAATAATTACTATCCTACTGTACAACTATGATATACTCCTTAGTGTTAAGTAGACTGTAAGCCAATAATGTTAAGTTGGCCCATAATGCCTAGGCCTAATAGAGGCTCTCTTTGCATTGCAACCCACTATTGTATATACAAAATCTCAATGAACTGTTTGCAAAGACATAAAATAAACAAATAAATAAATAATAAAAGTGTTTCTTTTTGGGTCACCCAGCCTCAGTGGGAGATGGCTGATGTGTGTGTATTTAGAGTATACATATGATAATTATTCTGGCCCAGCCCTCACATTAACAAGAGATACACAACCTAGTATAGGCCTACCACCACATGGTAACCCATCTGAAAACAATGTCTCCATATTTCCTTCCTGGTCATCTTAACTCAGTGTTTTGATACATTATAGCAACCCTGGCCCACTATTATTACATCAAACCTTAGTTATAGGCCTACCTCCCAGGGCAACACGTATTTTGCCCAGAAGAGTTGTTCCTGCCACTCTGGCTTCCTCAAGAGTGACCAACTGACCTGTGCTGCCCTCACATACAAGTCTTAATAAAAGAACATCACCATGCACAATAATTCTCAACTAATGCATTAATATTCTTGTTTTTCTCCATAATTCCTATAACATTATACCTTTAAAATGCTGCTTTTAACTTTTAAGGATTAAATACTAATATATTTACAAGGACTCCAATGGAAATAAGTCACTTTGACTTTTTTTTTTTTTTGGGTTATCCTAGGTATTTTACACACGTTATTGTGATAATTGTACTTATGTGTGCTTGTACCTAAATAAACTGGCTGCTGCTACAATATAATTATTATAATAAATTATTTATGTTCTGTTCACAAGTGAAACTGTTTCTCTTGAAATGTAAGGTTAGTAAACAAACTGCCTTTCCCACATGAATGATCAGTTCTCGTGCCAGAATCAAGCCACTTGTGCCTCTAGCAGTTCAGTATAACTTGATAAGATAAGATAAGATAAGATTTCGTTCGGATTTTTAACCCCGGAGGGTTAGCCACCCAGGATAACCCAAGAAAGTCAGTGCGTCATCAAGGACTGTCTAACTTATTTCCATTGGGGTCCTTAATCTTGTCCCCCAGGATGCGACCCACACCAGTCGACTAACACCCAGGTACCTATTTGCTGCTAGGTGAACAGGACAACAGGTGTAAGGAAACGTGTCGAAATGTTTCCACCCGCCGGGAATCGAACCCGGGCCCTCCGTGTGTGAAGCGGGAGCTTAACCACCAGGCCACCGGGCCACCTACCTTGATATTATAAATAAGTAATTTCTTGTTACAAATACAGTGGACCCCCGGATAACAATCAGCTCCCAACTCAACCAATTATGTAAGTTTATTTTTGTAAGTGCTTTTGTAGGTGTATTTTTAGGGGTCTGAAATGGACTAATCTAATTCACAATATTTCTTATGGGAACAAATTCGGTCTATAACGGCACCCAAACAGACTTCTGGATTGAAATAACATCGTTATGCGGGGTCCACTGTAATAGTCATTTCTTGTTACAAATCGTTAGTCATTTCTTGCTACATAGGACCCCAATTGAAATAGGCCACTTTGTCTAACTTGGGTTATTCTAGGTAATTTACGCATATGTTAAACTAGGTATGGTAATTGTACTTACGTGTACTTGTACCTAAATACACTTACTTACCCCAGTACAGCTAGGGTTCTACTAGTGGGTTCTATAACCCTATAATAGGTACACATTTCATAAATTTAGTCCCATAAACATTAATGTGAAGTAACATCTGTGACAGGTTAATTTAATATTAATATGTGAATGTTAAAAGTTTTCTGTGTGATATGCATCTGAAATGACAGGTTATATGAGGGAACATATGTTAAAAATGGTTTGCTACATGTCAGGAATGTTTGCTACATGTCAGGAATGTTTGCTACATGTCAGGAATGTTTGCTACATGTCAGGAATGTTTGCTACATGTCAGGAATGTTTGCTATATGTCAGGAATGTTTGCTACATGTCAGGAATGTTTGCTACATGTCAGGAATGTTTGCTACATGTCAGGAATGTTTGCTACATGTCAGGAATATTTGCTACATGTCAGGAATGTTTGCTACATGTCAGGAATGTTTGCTATATGTCAGGAATATTTGCTACATGTCAGGAATGTTTGCTACATGTCAGGAATATTTGCTACATGTCAGGAATGTTTGCTACATGTCAGGAATATTGCTACAGTCAGGAATGTTTGCTACATGTCAGGAATGTTTGCTACATGTCAGGAATGTTTGCTACATGTCAGGAATATTTGCTACATGTCAGGAATGTTTGCTACATGTTAGGAATATTTGCTACATTTCAGAAATGATTCACATGTTCGGAATTATTCATTACATGTCAGGAATGATCCGCAACATGTCAGAAATTACTCACTACATGTACTAAATGATTTGCCACAAGTTAGGAGTTATTTGCTACATGTCAGGAGTGATTTGCTTCATTTTTTAATACACTAGTCATCTCCCACCAAGGTAGAGTGAGCCAACAAGAAGAAAACACTTTCACTGTAACTCATTCAGTCAGTCTTGCTATGTTTCAGAAATTATTCACTATGTGTTAGAAATTATCCAGTATGTTAGGAATTATTCACTGCATGTAAGGTTAAAGAATATCTGTTGGAGTGTGAGCAGGGTAATACTTTGTGAGGGGATTCAGCAGAAACCAGTTAGTCAGACTTGAGTCCTGGAGGTGGGAAGTACAATGCCTGCACTTTATCAAATCAAATCAAATCAAAGTTTATTCTCTATAAGGATTACAATGCGGGGTTTACAGATTTTGGTTATTGTGTGGTTTACATGTAGTAAAATACTAATTACAGAGGGGGCCACTAGAACACCTAGCATGGCTAGGCATTTCGGGCAAACTTAGATTAATTCTTAACCCTAAATTATAACAAATTGTGGAGTGAGTTTGTAATATTTACCGTTTAGAGTGACAGTTAAACTGTTGTATCTGCGCACCACTGGCAAGACAGTGATAGTGTGAATGATGGTGAAAGTTTTTTTTTCCAGGTCACCCTGCCTCAGTTGAAGATGGCCAGCATGTTAAAAAAAATATGCAGTAGGCATCATAAATACAGCGGAACCTTGGTTTTTGTATGCTCTGGTTAGATACAATTCTTGGAGAAAATTCTCTATAAAATGTGTTTTTTGTTAATATTTTTGGGTGTCTGGAATGGATTAATTGGTTCTGTTCCAGACACCCAAAAATATTAACAAAAAATGCATTTTATAAAGGACTTTCTCCAAGAATTGCCTCCAACCAGGACATACGAAAACGGGTTCCACTGTATACACGCAAATAAACTAGTATTTTTGTAGGATTGCCCTTCCTCTTGATGCACTCCGTAACACTGGTATGGCTAACTGATGAAGGATAAAAAAGTTGATACTTTTCCACAACTGCAAAATTTATGGCACTTGAGATTTTGGGGCACGAGAACACGTCCATGCCATGAAGCTTATGCTTAATAAGTTTCAAAATGCTCTCTATTGGATTTCAATCTAGTGAGTTACCAGGCATGCCATTAAAGTATGGAAAAATCAGAATAACTTAGTCAATTCTTCATGTCAAACCATGGAACGGGTGGGGGTTTGAACCCACGGCAAGTGAATCCTAAAACTCCAGGCCAGTGCGTAAGCTTATGCACTGGCCCGGAGTTTTGCGACTCACTTGCCATGGATTCAAACCCCCACCCGTTCCATGGTTTGCAATCATGTTATTATGATTTCTTGAGTCAATTCTTCATGTCTTTGGTAGTATGGCAAGGGGCACTTTTCAAATGTGCCAGGCAACTAGTCTGAAAATTGTACTTATGGGCATGTATATTTATTATGCCTACTATATATGAGAGGCAAGAAAGAAAGGGTAAAATAGAGAAGAGTTTTACCCATATAATATTGATGAGAGGCAGGTGAGGATGTTATAGATCATAGGCTGTTAGTGTGGTAGGTGTGAGTGTAGCGGGTGTTCCTTACAGTGACTGTGCAGGAGGACGAGGATGGGTACCTGGTGTCAAGATTACCTGATGGTTCACTATTACACCAGTCTTCCCGGTCCCACACCCACGACCACGCCCGTGCTGCCCGCCCACCGCCCAATGTGTGTGACTACAGTGCACGACCTCACTTATGACACCCACTCAGTAACCACCTACCATATACTTGAAGATTATGTAGCAGATAAATTGTCTTCTCTAAAGAACTAAATTAACTTTTCTCCATGTATTCATGTAACTCAGTTTTTCTGGGAATTTCTTGTTGCTTATGCCATTAAAAGTGATGCAATATTATCTCAGTTGGAAGGCGAGTCTTTTGTCACTATTGACATTAAATTTTATAATAAGACGATTAGAAATTTTTTTGGTTTTCATTTCACATGTGAGTTTTTTGCCTTAAATCAAAATGAAGCGCTAAGCCACAAGGGCTATACAGCGCTGCTGCTTTAAATATAAATCAAGAAATATGACAGTAAACGTACTGCATTACTCTAGCCTGATAAAGCTTGAATTATGTTCCCCTGTCTCACTGTACTCAAAAAAAAAAGAATACAATATTAAACAAATGTTTTCACATTAAATATTTAAGAATTATTAAAGTCTTTAAAAATGTATTAATATTTTCTCTAACCATTTTCAAAATTTAGATACCACCTTTAAAATTTTAACTTTTTCAGATTCAGCATGTTAAAAATTCAATTAAAAATGCCTTGTTGAATTAAAATTATGGTTCATAGAGAAGGATTTTCTGAGATCACTGGTGCACACGAATGCAAAATATAATTTTTGTTAATAACGCAGACATGTACATAAATACATGTATTGTAGTGGTTTGTTTACATTATAAGGGACTAATTGCACATTTGTATATAAGACAACTAGCTATCTTTTGACAGTTATGTTAATTTAGTAGAATAATATACATGTTATGAAGGCACTTCATCTCTGTTCTTCAAGTTTTGTTGAGACTAATATCCTCTTATGGCATCCTGTTTATCTTGTATTCAAGCAAGAATACACTCACTCTTACACTCGTACTCATGGAGTCACACTCACACATTCACTCATACATATACTCACTACTCTAGGGCTTCAATCTATTGAGGTTCCCAGGCTGGTGTTCTTACAATGTATCAATGACCAGGTTAAAATAAGCAGAGCTAGCAAGCCACACTATTTCAGCTGGGCTCTGGAAGAATCACCACCTATATTCACATTCAACATGATTTTCCCTGGCATTCTGACATAAATAATGTGGCTCCCATGCCTTTCAGGCATGATTATAATAGATGGATGGTTCAGAGAACCGACATGTTGATAAATTAGACACATGTGCAACTCTTGGGTATCTTTATTGAGGAAACGTTTTGCCACACAGTGGCTTCATCAGTCCATACAAAGGAGAATCTTGAAGAACAGGAGGAGAATGAGGCATGATTCTCCTCCTGTTCTTCAAGATTCTCCTTTGTATGGACTGATGAAGCCACTGTGTGGCAAAACGTTTCCTCAATAAAGATACCCAAGAGTTGCACATGTGTCTAATTTATCAACATGATTATAATAGCCCGGTTTGTGTTATTCATGATCATTATTGTGGTGATTCTTATACAACTCAGCTGGAACAGTGTACAGATCCTTGGTTGTGGTTCTTTTGCCTGTGGTTGTTGATACAGTGGTTAGCTTGTAGTAATTATAAACAGGTACAATAATTCCATTACTCACATGCACATGACTTTTGTTAAGATAATTTCAAATACTTGTATCGTGGAAGCCACAAGGATTCACCTCCATTGCATGTTTAACCCTTAAATGTTCCAAACGTATATATACGTTTTTTCAACGTCTGAAAGTATGTAAAAAAATGTAGATCTTCTTTTTTGTTTTACATTTGAAAACGTGTAAAAAAAAAATTTATCTACTTTTTTTGGTTACATTTGAAAATATATTAAAAAAAGTACTAGATCTACTTTTGTAGCAATACGAATTTGAACGTCGATTTGTTTGGACCGTTTAAGGGTTAAGAATTCATTTAGCATCTAGTTAATATTTGGTATCAACTTAAGATTGCAATCTGCAATATAATAATTTCATCAGATACATTAAATATAATTGACAAATAAGCCGTCATACTTAGAATTGTTATTAAAGTAAATTACAGTACTACCATTGATAATAGCAATGGTAGTATCATCTACGTATATGTAACATGATCATTTAATACTGATTAATTTTCTTCGCTTTTTTTTACAAAAAACAACCAAGAGTATTATTTCTGGTCTCAGCTGACTTATACTCTGGAAATAAATGGTATAAAATACCGACACAATGGAAATATAAACATATGCAGTTTAATGTGATCCTTTATTGACAACGTTTCACCCACACGGTGGGCTTTTTCAAGTCACAAACAGATCTACCTGGGGTGGAAGGTATGGGAGTATTTATAGTCAGGTTCAGAATGCTTGAGGTCAGGTGGAGAATGCTGCATCTGATGATGTACCAAGTGGGGTTATAGAATCTAAAATCTTGGGTAGCTTGGAAGGGAGATTGGATAAGTTTGTGAGCAGACCTTCTGCAGTGTTCTTCCATTCCTATGTTCTTATGTGGGATAGCGATGATGAAGTTTCTTGGCAAGTGGTTCAGCTATGTTATAGAAGCCATTATTCTGGTTGAAGTTGTCGGATATAGAAATAAGTGATGATTCCAGGATTCTTCGGTATTGACTCATCGCCACAGAAGACAACACTCAATACCGAAGAATCCTGGAATCATCACTTATTTCTATATCCGACAACTTCAACCAGAATAATGGCTTCTGTAACATAGCTGAACCACTTGCCAAGAAACTTCATCATCGCTATCCCACATAAGAACATAGGAATGGAAGAACACTGCAGAAGGTCTGTTCACAAACTTATCCAATCTCCCTTCCAAGCTACCCAAGATTTTAGACTCTATAACCCCACTTGGTAGATCATCAGATGCAGCATTCTCCACCTGACCTCAACATTCTGAACCTAAGTATAAATACTCACGTACCTTCCACCCCAGGTATTATTATTATTATTATAATCAAGGGGTAGATCTGTTTGTGACTTGAAAAAGCTCACTGTGTGGCCGAAACGTTGTCAATAAAGGATTACATTATACTGCATATGTGTTTATATTCTGACTTATACTCTACTCTTTTTCGAAAATGATCACAAAATCTAAATTTTGTCATTTATGTGGTTGTTCAAAATAGAAGACACATTCATCTTTAATAGCTATAAAGAGAAATACTATTTTAAATAAAACTCTGAATACTTGGCAGGGAATATTTTCCATATACTTTATTATACAGCCTCTCCTCACTTAATGACGGAGTTCCGTTCCTAAGACCTTGCCAGTAAACGAATTCGTCACTAAGTGAGGAGAACACTATAATAGTAGTGGGTTTGTGTCGACCATCTTTGGTACTGTTTTAATATCACCTTTGCACCATTTATAACATATCTGGTATATTTTTAAATGTTTATACAGTAGTGTACTGTATATTGCAATAAACAGAATAGAGGAAATCAGCTGTAATATACATTATTTAGGTATGAATACTAGTCAGAGAGCCCATCGTAAGTCAAGTCATCAATAAACAAGTACGTCGCTAAGTGAGGAGAGGCTGTATTGTATATTACATAAACAGATTGCACTGTAGTTTTCAATAGTGAAATTGATTTTGAACTTGTAAATTACGCTACAAAATAAATATATTTATACATTGTGTTGTGACTTAGGTTAATGGTGACAGATGTATATAGTGAATTAATCAACTCTCATTCTACAGCTAACAATTCTTATGTGTGGATTTCTTTTATTTTAGAAACACGATGGTTTTTTTGGATGACAAGGGATTCCATCAGAAGATATTTTTCATGTTTTGGCTGAACAGGATCCAGCAGATGGTACTAATCTATTGACCTTCTATGCCAATACAAACTCAACATACATGAGTCATTTCAGTTTTTACCTATGAATGACCTCTACTGAATCATTGTTTTTTTGTTTTATCTAACTTAAAATCTGATTATTTTGATAATTTCAGTTAATATGATTGTACTAAATATTAGACATTCAAACTGAACCTTAATAATATTGATTATATTGGTCAAAATAATTATAACAAATATTAGACCTTTGAAGGCTATTGCTTGTTATAAAATATTACTATATACCAAATTAGAGTATTACTATAATTCATATTATAATAGCCAAGCACAAAACCCTTAGGGGTCATACAGTGTCTAGGGAATATAAGGTTATCAGATTTGATCAGAGGAAAGGGAGGATAGCTCCAATTCCTTGAATCAAGAGCCCTCCATCATGAAGGCACCCCTCAGATGGTACTATACCAGAACACAAATGAATAGTTTAAAACCCATTTCTATGGTAGTCTTAGTGACACTGGTGTATATGTATATATCTATATATATATATGTATGTGGCATGGCTGCATGATGTTGATGGGACTGATGGCATGCCTCTTGTAGGTAGTGTCAAGCATGACCATGTCTTATTGCATGTCTAATTTTTTCCCGTTTCTCAGCTGGGACAACTGGCAGGGTAATGAAAGCAGACCTGCTATAGTATATTGTGACCTCTCACTAAATCTTGTCAGTGACTACAACACTGACACACACACACACAACACAATACATACACAGAAACACACACACACACAAACATACTTATACACCCAACCAAAAGACACACACACACACACACACACAATACATACATCTCTTGACTCTGTAATCATGAATACACAGTGCTATATAAGTATCTTTAAAATTATTGTGTATGATATAACTTAGACAGTATCTTAGTTATTGATGGTTGGACAAAGTGGATCATCTAAAGGTTTGCCTCTCCCTCCCTCCTTAATTCTCCCCTCCCCCCTCTCTAAATCCCATCCTCTCTTCTTCCTTCCCTCCCTCCCACAAGGAAACCAGTATAACAGAGTCAGGCAGATTCTTATGATTGGTTAAGTAAATTAAGTTAGGTTTCATTACATTTTAACAGTTAAGTTGCATTGTTAATCTTTGCCACAAAACAAAATATTAACACTGTACATATTCACGTAACTATTTCACCGTTTCATTGGGTAATGAGACAGAGTTGAATCTTAAGGTGATCTCATAATGGAATTACTGGTAATGGTTAAATTAATTTGGTAATATCTTAATTAATTTTTAGTAGTTGGACCAGACATTATTTTGTCTATGTTGGGTAAGATTTTAATAATTATTGCTTGGATAAACTGTAAATATTAATAGTGATTAAGATGGCTGGATAACATATTAATTATTACTGGTTAAGTAAGATCTAAATATTAGGTAGCGAATTTTTTAAATGTTTAATACATGTTGAAATGTTCTTTAATGATTAGCTTTGATCTTTAGTGTTAATTGTTAATGACTGGAAATGATCATATTTCCAGTAACTTAATATTGTGTAATCATTAATTTTGGAGGTAAAAATACGCCTTCTTAATTTTGCAAAAGTTCTCATTAACACTCTTCATATATAATACTTCAAACTTGATATATACTTTGTTTATGCAAATAATTATTTTAACCCGTAAACGGTCAAAGCAGATCTACGTTTTTTTTACATATTTTCAAATATGACAAAAAAAAAAGTAGATCAAAGTTTTTTTACACATTTTCAAATGTAAAAAAACAAAAAGAAGATCTACTTTTTTTACACACTTTCAAATGTTGAAAAAACGCATATATACGTTTGGACCGTTTACGGGTTAACAGATCCAGTACATTATAAACAGCTTCAAATTAATAAAATAAATGTTGAAATTATTGCTACTGTATTACATATACACTGATGTATTATGTATCAAAATGCTTAAAAATATCATATCTGAAAGATATATTTTTTCCATACAGTAACCTATTTATAAAATAATGATACTGTTTAACTATTCAAATTACGTATGTTAAAAATTGAAAATTATACCGCCCCTAATGATGCAAATATTGTTTATAGAAATTGAGAACGAAGTTAATCTCTTATATTTTGTTTCAGGTAAACTACCAGTTAGATGAGACTGCTTATAGCCCTGGCCTGCTCTCGTCTGTATCACATTCTAGTCCCAATAAACCTCAGTTGGAGAAGACTGTGGTTGCTTATGTAAATAACACAGGTAACATATTTAGAGCAAGTAGCAGTGGTACCACAAGTGAAAACAGCAACAATCCATCTGATATCCACAGTGATCCACTAAGTGTACAAAATCAAATTGAAGAATATGATATTTTTGACGAAATACGAAAAGCTAGTGACAGTGATAGTGTGAGAGAAATGCAACAGTTTGGTTTTCACCAGCATGGGAAGATGACCAGGAACGATGGGTCATCTTCCCAGGAATTTGAAATGAGCAGGAATACACTCAGCAGAGTGGAGGCTGAAAGAGAAATGGATGTGCACACTCACAGTTCTGCATATTCTCAGGTCAGCCAAGAAACTGCTGATGACAGTGTTTTAGGGCCAGAAGAAAATGTAATACAGGAAAATCATATAGTAAAAAGCAAGGAAGATCAAACAGGTCACCAACAAGAGAACCTACATATACACAGAGAAGTACTAGACTCTGATAATAGGCAAAATGATGGGACTTATAAGCCCAGATGTACAAGTGAAAGTCAGGCTGTGCATAATGAAACCAGCAAAATAGGTCAGTCAAATAAAAATAAACATGGCAGATATGATGATGATGATGATGACAAAGGCATAAAGAAACTAAGGAAAATCCTAAAAGAAGCTCAAGAAAGTATAAAGAAGTTCCAAATGGATTTTGAACTTGAAGGTATCTTTAAAATCAGTAATGTTTCAAGATCACAGGAAGCAGTGGTAGCTGACCACCTGGCAGATGTCAGTAATATTAATGGAACAAGGCATTCCAACCATAGTAACTGTGGGTCTGTGAATTCCTCAGATTCATTAAGAGGCAACACAGCTCAAGATAAAGTCGAGGAGGAATATGGTACCACAGCTCACAGGCTGAGGCACCAGCAACAGAGATATGTTCACAGAATGCTTAGTCATTCCAGACTTGGAGAAAATATCTTTCGTAAATACTATAGTCAGTCCAGAAAGGGAGGACAAAACTTTGCTAGACACACTATATCTCCAGATGAAGCAATTTTTTCTAAATCTTCAAAAACTGCTGTGCACTCCACCTCTTTCCTTAATTCTGACTCAAACTTGCCAATAAACAATACAGTTTCTGGACCCTTATCTAGGATGTCTCCTCAAGTTAGGGAAACACATTCAGGTATATCAGCAGAAATTCACACAGACAAAGGACTTTCAGAAAATATACAGACAGATTCTGCTACTGACCTTACTGAGACAGAAGCCATTGATCAGCTCAAAGTTTCAGGTGCTAAGGCTGACAGAGGTATGCATATTATAAATCAAAGTGGAAAAGACAGAAAATTTTCAAGAAAGTAATTAAACATTTTGCTTATGAATATACAGATAAACATTTGGGAATGAGTATAGATTAAAAATATAATTCCACTTATGTATTCTTATTTTTACTTTGATTTTTAGTTAAAAGATCAGTGCTAAAAATAAGTATTTAACATTACAAAAGCAGGATCGTTATACCATATGACATAGGGTAATAATACTGCTCCTGTTTTGTTAAATAGTGGTTCTCATATATGTCACATTGTGAAATTATCAAGTTAAAGATCAATAACATACCTTGTAAAACTATAATGTAAGATATGTCTATCGACTAATCTCACAGCTGATATACTGTAGACTCGGTTTATATACTCTACATGTATGTTTGGAAATCTGAAGGTGTAGGGTACACTGCTCATGCTTATGTATGCTTTGTGGTTCATAATGTGGTATTAATAATTTACCTTTCTAACATTGGTTTATATCAGATTAACTGTGTACAGCTTGTTAAATTTTAGAAAAAATGTGTAATACTCTTCAGATTCAGACAGAACGAGCCTTTAGAACTCAAAGGGCAAGACAACGTAACATTCTCCAGCAGTGCTAAAATGGTTGTGAAGTTAGAAGTGCTGCTTCTTGCTCACCGAGGCAGTAATGCCTCACCCAACTAATGACAAATAATCAGGATGGTGATGAACACCATCTTTGATGAAATGGTTAATGTGAAGTTGATCTGCAGATGTTTAGCTTATTTGAACTGAGTGCGTAGCGTTGTGGTCAGGACTGAAGATGGTGACTCTCAAATGATTGACCGATTTAAAAATAAGATAAAACTTTTGATGACAATTATTTAATATTCAGCTCAGTTTGTTTATAATAAGAGAGGTTTTGTTGTTGTGTGATTTTTGTGCATATCTTTGCTACAAAGCAAGTTGTCAACAATGGCCTCAGAAGATTTTCTCACATTGTTTTCCATTGTAAATAAGTAAATTTCCATTGTAAATAAGTAAATTACCATATATAATTCTACTGTAGTTGTCATGACTACATACTAATGTGTACTATGTACAATCTACAAATTCATGTGTTTTGTGAACTACACTGCCATTGATCCTATTGTAACTTTACACATGGTACAGTGGACCCCCGCATAACGATCACCTCCGAATGCGACCAATTATGTAAGTGTATTTATGTAAGTGCGTTTGCACGTGTATGTTTGGGGGTCTGAAATGGACTAATCTACTTCACAATATTCCTTATGGGAACAAATTCGGTCAGTACTGGCACCTGAACATACTTCTGGAGTGAAAAAATATCGTTAACCGGGGGTCCACTGTATTTCCTGCATATTGTGATCACATTGTTAGTTATTAATAAAAAATTATACTTACACTCTTGTTTATTTTCTACATAAAAGGACAGGGTTAATATAATGCACGTTGAAATAAACTGCATAATAGTTTACCTGGAGAGAGTTTCGGGGGTCAACGCCCCCGCGGCCCGGTCTGTGACCAGGCCTCCTACAGACATCCCTTGTTTTATGCTGTGTGTTTCAGGGTCATGGTACGAGCACTAAGCTCAGTCACACTTGTTGTTATAATCAAATAAAGCGCTAAACCGACAAGGGAGTCAGGCTATAAATAATTCTGCAAGACGGTGAACTGCACCAATTACATACATATATAACTTACAAATACAGAACTGAATAGATATGGTCAGTTTGGAGGGATATGTTGTGTATCTTTATAAGTATATGCTTCTAAACTGTTGTGTTCTGAGCACCTCTGCAAAAACAGTGATAATGTGTGAGTGAGGTGAAAGTGTTGAATGATGAAAGTATTTTCTTTTTGGGGATTTTTTTTTTTTTGGGGGGGGGGGGGGGTCACCCTGCCTTGGTGGGAGACGGCCGACTTGTTGGGGAAAAAAAAAAATGCAAAATAGCAAATTTGCATGAAACTGGGGAAATATGTCTTCAAAAATATAAAATACCATTTTTCTCTTGTCCACAGCAAGTGAAACTGAATAAATGAAGAATTTCTGTATGCATGTATGTACATGTACAGCAATCAATTAGTATTTGTGTATTCAAAAAGTACACTACCCATACTGTGGAGGGGTGGGGATGTTGCATTTCAGAGAATCCTTCAAACTGTGATGTCCACGCACTTCTGGCAACACAGCTACTGGGTGAATTGATGGCAACTGTTTCCGTTTTAGGGTCTCCCAACGTTGGTGGAAGATAGTCGACGTGGTAAAACGAAAAGAGCAAAGTATGTTAGTGGTAGAATCTCTTTTATAATTAATGTATTATTATAATCAAGGGGGAAGCGCTAAACCCGGAGGATTATACGGCGCCTGGTGGGGGGGGGATGTGGAAGGCATTCAGGCTTAATTCGGGGAACTGGAGCACAGATCCAATTCCCTAAATCAAGAGCCCCTCACCATATAATTAATGTAATGTTTGCATTAGCTGTAGTACACACTACCTCTTCTTGGATCCCAGTCCATCTGTTTTTCACTCTTATTCTCTCTGCTCATGTATAGAAATCTATCTATTTTTCTTACATCCTTTAATAAACTTATGTGATTATTATATTGTCTCCTTTTTTCTCCTATCTACCAATGAGTGAGCAGTGCCCTTAGTATTTTTGTAATTCTTATTAACTCTCAAATCCATTGTGTATGTACATACATCATTTTATCTACAGGGCAGAAAGGCCCAGACTTAGAAAATTGCTCTTGGTGTTTCATATCATGAGGTGCCCCATCAACCAGGCCGAGAGATAGCTAGGTGGGCCAGCAAGCTGTGAGAGAAAGTCTAAATAAGCGGGCAATCAACTTTAAATTCCAGGCTGTGAGAAAAGAAAAACCCATGAAATGGTCACAGGCAAATCACAAGTAGTACAGAGGATGGTAATATTTCACGTGTATTCATGTGGCTCAGCAGCTGTAAAATAAAACTTACTTCACCAGGGGTCCCCTTTGGAATTGGGGGGGGAGGGGGAAATGTTGAAAGATGTTGCAACTATGTTTTATAGGCAGTGACCATATTACAGCTGTTGGGGGTTCCCAGCCTTTATAATATTCACTGGGAAACATTAAATGAATATTGGTCAAACAGTGCCTGGGAAATGGGTGGTAATCAGGTTTGATACAAATAAGGGAAGGGGAGCTCCAGTTCCTCAGATTAAGAGTCCTTCACCAGGTTTGAGCAAACTGTTATCAAGTTTAGTCACATGTACATATATGGTGTGGTTTATGGCACAGTTCGTTGAACATTACTCAATTTAACATAAATTTAATTCACACTATGTACGCACTTTGTAACATAGTAGTACATGAACATTGAGACACTGCTGAGAGTATTGAAGAGGGGGGGGGGCAGCTCCAGAATTTTTATATATTTGGGGCTTATAGGTGGCAGTCTGGTTCAATGAGGCAGCTCAGGGATTTATTGTGAAGCAGAGTTATTATTGGGGGATTCTGGAGGGTCTGATGGAATTTTGGGGGTTCATACACTCCTCCCTTGACACTGCCCTGGGTGCAGGGCAAACTTTTGACATTTCATTGTATACAGCTTTATCATATCAATGTAAGGGAGGTGCCTTGATACTGGGGAGATCTTCATGACTTGTATTTTTGTGCCATGATTGTAGGGAATTAGACCCCTGGTGCATCTGAGGATACTGGATTCCTGCATTTCTTGGAGGAAAGGTTGCTAAGCTTGTTGGGATCAGACTGGGTGATGCTGGTCGTGTTCTGGAGTCTCTGTTTTACTTTCAACTGTATGAATGGAATAGTTTCTAACACAACTTGAAGGGGCCCCAACTTGTCCCACGTGATGAACATATCGTCAGCATATCTGAACCAAGGTACTGTATTAGTACAAAGACAATTGCTAAATCCATGGGGGCCATACAGACTATTTTAATCAGGGGGATGGTCATTAGAACCCACCATATAGACTAGAGGAACCATCATCAGGGGAGCATTATTATGACTTACCACAATCTGATGCATAGTTTTCCTATTCATCTTCTGAGCATCAATAAAATGCTGGTTAAACACATTTTACCTAGCTTAATGGTAAGACAAAACTTGCCCTGCTGTGCCGCAAGCTCTGTTCATGTGCCTACATACTGTATACAATTGTTGCTAACAAAATACAACAGAGGACTGGTAAACAAAAGTGTGGATTTAATATTTCTTTAGCAGGTACTTGACAGGCAAATAGATTTGTGTCTTTTTACAACTATACATAAAAGCAACCAAGCAATAAGCTTAGCACTTGCAATACAAGAGCACAGGTATCAGGTACTCTGATTCACTAGGACTTCGTGTTCAAATCTCTGGGAAAGGAAAGTACATGAAAATAATGAAAATATATCAGCCAATTGTGAATGTCCTTGTGATGAATATAAAGTGTGGAAGAAACTAGCATTTCCTAATAACCAATTCTGCTCGGATGTCACAATCTAGGAATTTTTGGAGAAATTAACAAGATAGTTTCAGGTAAAAATCTTAACTCTTCATTCATAAATGAGCATAACAATACTCAACAAATTTATATCATAACATAATGTGGTTATCACTAATATTGAGCCTTTCATACATTTACAACATTGCTTTATACCTATATCAACACAGCCTTCTCTTGTTCAATATTACTGAAGAACACATTTAATTAATATCTGCTATTTACATATCAAAGATTGGTGCACAGAACTATTAATATACTGCGTCATTTCCATTATCACCTAAATGACCTAATCTTGATTAATACATAAAAATATATTTATGGATATTTACATTTCATAAACACTTTGCAAATCAGTGCTTTTACAACTATTATTAAAGCCATTTAGGTATATATATGGAAATTTATTGTTACTGACTGAATTTATTTACAATTTGTGCAAAACTGAAACTGTTCTAAGCTTTTACTAATGAACAAAATTTACAAAAATTTTATAAGATCCACTTAACAACCAGCATAATTCAATGGCAAATTTCAAGCTAAATTATGAAAATTAACTATTATCTTTTCATTTGTACATATGAGACTTTATAACTCAGAAACAATAAGAGTCATATATTAATTTCAATTTAATTTAAATATTTTGCATTTAAAAAATGAATATACTGTATATGCCAATATAAAATGAAGGTATAAGGCCTTACTCAGCAGTTTCAATAGCTGTGTTAGTCAAAAGACAGAGCTGTTGAAATATAGTGACCTGCTCTGTCAGTGGCAAGTATGATATAACATTTTGATAAGACAATAAACTTTCCCCATCCCTCTTTTCCTGTTCACTGAGTTCTGAAGTCATCAACCTGAGACGGAGAACATCGAACAACTTGGTCCACTCTGCTTCATCTGCAGGTAGTACGTATTCTTCTGTACCATCCTCTTTTTGGCTAGCTTCTCCTTGAGACACACTCACCATTCCATCCTGAACTACATATGTGCCAGGCTCCCCACTTTCAACTAACACTGCTGACTGACTATCACTGTCCACAAACATTGCTGGTGTTTCTAAAGTTGTCTCATCGCCTTCCATAAGGACAGCAGATGTCCCATGTTGCCTACCAGCTTGGCGGACAGTAGATGATGCTCCAGTAGCTCCACTAGTTGAAACCACCAATGATGTTCCATCAACTTCTCCTTCCAGTTGCGTTTGACAAAATTCTTTCATGTACTGATCAACAGTCAGTGCTGAACCTTCAAGTTTCACTGAACCTTCAAGTTTCAGTGTCCCTTGCGTCACTACTTGCTGACCAGTCACTTCTCTCTCCTCACCTGTTGCAACTAATAATTCTTCCAGTCCAACATCACTATTACCACCTTTGCTTTTGCTAACTGTTCCTCGTGACAGATGTGGGCTAAATTGTTTAAATCGTTTGCGGTTACCATTTCTAGAAAGGTAATTTGATTTGTCTCTGGCATGCCTTTCCATGATACGATTCATAAGTTCCTGTGGATGATCCACTTCAGTGTGTGTGTGCTGAGGATAGTACACCATTTGTGTTTCTCCATCATAGTCCTGAGTTATAGTATTGTACTGCACTTTTAGGTGGATACGAGCATGGCAGTTGCTCGATCGTTGTATTCTAACAAACCACCTTCGCTTCTGTTTATTAGGGGAGTCGCTCTCTGTTTCACTGTCTCGTTTCTCTTTCGACTGATCAATCTGTAAAAAGGAAAATAAAGAGTACATTTAATTTTGGTGCAAAGTTTGCATACAAGCAAAACATTATTGGAGTATGTATTAATCTCAACAAAGTATGCACCAGCTGACAGCTTCTCAATGAAGTCAACCTTTCTAATTTCTAATGTGCATTCATAACATTGATGACATGGGTATTTGAATTTATGAACATGAGCAATTGGATACTCTATGTGTCTATACTAGTGATTTTTTTTTGTTTTTCAACAAGTCGGCCGTCTCTCACCGGGCAAGGTGACCCAAAAAAGAAACTCCCCAAAATGAAAAAACTTTCATCATTATTCAACACTCTCACCTCAATCACACACATTATCACTGTTTTTGCAGAGGTGCTCAGAATACAACAGTTTAGAAGCATATACGTATAAAGATACACAACATATCCTTCCAAACTGCCAATATCCCAAACCCCTCCTTTAAAGTGCAGGACTCAAGTCCGGCTATATAAAAATAACCGGTTTCCCTGAATCCCTTCACTCAATATTACCCTGCTCACACTCCAACAGATCGTCATGTGATTTTATTATTATTATCACACTGGCTGATTCCCACCAAGGCAGGGCGGCCCGAAAAAGAAAAACTTTCACCATCATTCACTCCATCACTGTCTTGCCAGAAGGGTGCTTTACACTACAGTTTTTAAACTGCAACATTAACACCCCTCCTTCAGAGTCATGTGACATCCACACAAAATGCTATAAGGAAACTTACTTTAGCTGTATGGAATCTATGACACACCATCTGGATGAGCTTCATGTCATTCTTCTCAATGCGAGTTGTATCTCTTATGTAACGTACATTATATTTCTTTTCTTCACCAGTCAGCCACTGGTAGAACAGTTCAAGGTTTTTAAAAGTTTTGAATTCTCTGGGCACTACAATATTATGGACTTCTTCCATTTTTTAAGAATGATAGAGAATCTTTTCCGATTGTAATGACCACCAAAAGAACTAAATTTGATGGAAAAACTGACAGAATTATGCCCCTTGCAAAGCTTAGCGACCTCGTGAAAATTACGAATCAGCATTTTGCCACTTTGAGCCTTTTTTCGGCTAATTCATTGTTTTCCAGTCACCAAACTAAGCTATTTCTTTAGAAACTCATTTTTTCTATCGACTGAGACAAGAACTGCCCATTTACGATTAACTACCCAATAACATGGTCAGAAATTTGCAATTTGGCAATTTCACAAAAATTAAAAAATATGACAATTTCAAAATTAGGGTCCAGAATGAACAAATGCAGCTTTCCAGCTTTTAAAATAAATTTTTCTTTGATCATCATCACATCTCCAGGCCCCTCTGATATACTCTTCCCTTTCTATTTGAATTTTTATTCAAACAAAATAGAAGAATTAGTGTTATGCAGACTACTGCAAATTGTAATAATTGTATTAAATAATGTCAACAATTTTGCTAAATATTAGAATGGTACTTGGGATATTTATTGGAAAAAACTCATTCTTGTTTACTTTTGGGAAATTTGGGCCCAAAAATCAAAACATTTTCCCCTACTTTGATGTTCCATTTTAATAGAAAAACAATCAAAACACCTTCTATTTTCTATAATAAAAAATAATTTTCCATTCTTATAAATGGACCAGGAAAACGAGATAAAACCATAATTCTATAGTAAATGCACCCTAAAGCGCTTTTAATTAATAAAAAAAACGGCGGGTTTTTTTTCTAATAAAGAAACTGGTGCGCGGAATTTTTTTTATTTTAATTGCAAGCCCAACAGACCAAACTCAAAAGTCCTACACTTACTTCTTAATTAAGGGCCCTAGAATTTGGTACATATGTATTACATTTGGGAAACTTATATGGAGTATTTCCATTTAAATGGAAAGAACATCGCTGGACCCGAACCCCAAATTTTTTCCCCTTTTCCAAGCCATAAATCCAGGCAACGTTACACTAATTTTTAAGTTTGTATTAGATTACATTAAAACATTAAAGTAAACCATCCATATATTCATTACTTATTTGCATTGAATTTAAATGTAGGGGGGTGGTTCTAACGTGGACCCCGGTTAAAGAACCATTCCAAAAGAGTTCAGGTGCCCGTACGACCAATTTGTCCCTTAAGGAATATTGTGAATTGATTAGTCCATTTAACCCCCCAAAAATACACTACACGCACTCATAATCCCTTACAATAATTGGTCCTTTGTAGGGATAGTGAGGTATTTTATTTGTAGGAAGTCGGGGTGCAGGTTAGCCGGGTCGGTACCCAGGGATACCTGGGGGCAAGCCCAATTATTACCCTTGGACTTCCGTTCATAATTTAATTTCATTTTAAAACACCCAGAGATTAAAAAAAAACAAAGTAATCATTATTTACAAAAAAATGTGAAAATTTAAGTAGGGAAAAAAGGTGAATCGTATTTATTGTAGGAGCCCATGTGGAGCGGTGGGTAGTTGCTACCCTGGGCCCCTACACTGGCCAAGTTATTATTACATAAACATACTTGTTAACGAAAACGTTTACACAACTTTTTTCAAAAATGCCTTTCATAAAAAAGAGATAAAGAATAATTTTTCTCCAAATTTAAAAAGGGAGTACGGGTGGGAAAAAAAGTGGTTCACCAAACTGATTTCTTTTATGGGTTTTCTTTGTGAGCCTTTTGTGCGGATTTTGGGGGGGCTTTCCAGCCGGTATTAAGGTCCAAAAGTATTATTTCAGAACAATAAATGGAAAAAGAACACCCCAAAAATTTTTTTTTCCCCTTAAAACTTTATAAAGGTAACAAGGGGAAAATAGGCTTTTTAAAAACTAAAATTTTTAAATTCCCAAAAATTTATTTATTTCCTAAATATTAATAGTTTTAAATCGGGTTTTTCAGGTTTTAAATGAAAAAATCGGGATGGTTACTCCTCTTCAAACTTTTTCTTTTGGCTTTGGAAGTCTTTATCTGTTAGGAGGCTTTCAAGAAAAAAGTTTTTAATTCAAGCTACTTAATTTAAAGGTTTGCCATATCCCCCTTTAAATAATTTTAGGTTTTAAAGCTTGAACTTTGTCGGGGATTTTTTTTCCTTCCCTTAAAATTTCTTTATACTTATTCCATCATCAATATTTTAATTAAAATTTAAAACCTTCGTTAAATTTTAATTTTTTTGAATCATTTTCTTTCAAAATTTTCATTAAAACTTTTTAAAATAGTTTAAAGGGCTCTTCAACCTTTGGTCCATTTTTCAAAATGGTTCAGGATATCATCAATATCTCCTTTCCATGAAGCTTATTTACTTGTCTTCAAGTAACAAAAGGATCTTCTTTCTTCAGAGGCTCACTGTGGAAAATAGGGAACAATTTTTATAAAGTCCATTCCAATTTAAGGTTTATATTAACAACATTTTCAATTTCTTTCCCTGGATTCTCAAACTTCGGAACTTGCTCCCATAAGTCCGGGAATTTAGATTTTTAAAGCCTTTAAAGGGATTTCTTTCTTCTTTCAATTTTCCCCTAATCATTTTTCCAAAAAATTTGGAATTTATCCAAAAGGTTTTTAATTTATTTTTTTAGGAAACCAGGATTTTTTCACTAATTGTCCTTAAAAATTTACGCATCTAATTTTTAAAGGGCCTTCTTTCTTAATATAAAATTTAAGGCTGCAATTTTTACCACCTTTCCATTTAGTTCATAAATTTGAAGTTGGGTTTGGGAGGAAAATTAAAGGGCAACATTTATTCTTGTAAAATACCATTAAAGTTTTTCCATGCCCATTGGTTAACACGTAAACTTTAAAAGGGTAGTTTTTTTCCCCCTCTTTTTTAAAGCCCAACTGTAGTTTAAAAGCCAAACCAATTATGATTAAAGATCCAGTTCATCAAGTTTAATGATTTATTATTAAAAAAGGGTTGCCCCCTTTTTTTTAAATAGTTAAACTTTAGGGGCCTGGGTTCAAAAGATAATCAAAAAGGTTTAACTTGAACACAACTGCAAAGCCCCTTTTGGGGTCAAGGATGTTTAATGTCTTTTGATCCTTTTGAAGAGGCATTCCCCAATTTTTTTTTACAATAAATTCCTAATAAAAATTCTTTTTTTCAAATTAAAATTTATCCACAAAAAATTCGTTCTTGGAACCATCAATTTAGATTATTTTAATGAAATATTAATTTTTATTTTAAATTGTCGGCGTTTGCCCCCCAAACCTGAATTCTATTTGGTGAAGGTTAAAAAGTTTTTTTCCTAAACCATTCCCCCTTTACTAGGGAAATTTCTTCAGCACTTCCTCACCCTTTTAAAAACCTCAATTGTAATTTTTATTAGGGGTTGGGGACTTTTATAAGGGCTGGCTTAATCTTAAAGGGAATTTGAGGGACTACTGATCGTCTATAAATTTAAAATTTTTCCCCCAAAAGAATATGGTTATAGTTTTTATTGGGGCTTTAGGTTCTTGTAGATTTTAATTTCCCGAAACACCCCATTGTTAAAGTATTTTATGGACCCCCAAAACCAAAGCACGTGTATTAGTATAAATACCTGCACCAGTTTAATTAATTTTTTAACTGGCCACAAAGCAAGGGTTAAAGTTTTTTTAAATACCCCAAGTTAAATTTCAGAATCAAATATACGAAAATAAAAACAAAAGAAAGAGATAAGAGTTCAGGAAATGTAAAACAAACCCAAATGGGGAGCGTATTGGCGGCCGAAAAAAATTTTGAAAATTTAATGTGTTTAAATTTTAGTTTTTCACATTTAACGTTTTAAAGGTCCCCAAAATTTTTAAAAAAAAATATTTTTTTTATAAATATAATTTTCCTCAAATACCAAAATTTAAAATTTGGTGTAAATAGGTTTGTCAAGTTGGGGTCCGGGAATATCAATTCGCAACTTCCCATTTTCAGCCAATTCATTTTTATTTGGAAAAATAGATATTTTTAAATTATATTTATTATTGAGTCAAAAAAAAAAGGACTAACCCAAAGGGGTCAGAAGGGCTTAATTAATAAGGCAAACAAAAAATATTTTTCATAGTTAATAAAGGTTTCGGGACTGAAAAACTAATTTTTCCGCATTTACACAACCCCTTTTAAACAATTTCAATTTTATCAATTTTATTCTTAAAATTTACTTTTATAAATGTTTATTGCAAATGGAAATTATATCACTTGAAAAATATTAGAACCCCCTTAAAATGTTATTTAATGGTTTTTTAAATTTATTGCCAAGGGAAAAATTGATTGTTATTTGATAGTAAGGGTGTTACTGTGGGTAGGAAGTAGGGGTGTTCCCCTTAGGATTTTAAAAATGAAATGAAAACCACCAGTTGTAAGTTTTATTTTTACAGGTAACAATCAATAAAAATTATAGAAAATAATAATCCGCTTAATTAAAAAAAAAATTTTTTTTCTAAAGGTTTCAGAGAAAGGGATGTGCCATGGAAGAAACAAACCAAGTGGGCCACGCCCCGTTATTTGAAAGGACCGTTTGGATAGTAAATTAAATTGGGTCAAATTAATTTGGAACAACGCCAATTAACGGAAACCCCATAAGGAAAACGCCGTAAAGCGGGGCCCCCTACTTGAATTACGTAAAAAACGGTGGCCCCTAAGACGTATATATACGACCAAAACAGTCAAAGGTTTAAGGTAGGTGGTTAGCAAGAGAATGGTACTATCCATTTTATAATTCCTGGGGAAAATGCTTTAAAAAAAGTAGGTAAGGCATGCATTTTTCACATGTGGTCTCATAAATAAAGCACTCACAAGCAGAGGACATGAGCAAAGTCATGCATTAGTATTAAATGGTGATGAGAAGAAGCTAGTAAACTCTTACATTAAACTAGTTTACAGTTATGCAGAGCACGAAAATATGAAGTGAGATGTATAATTTTCAATACTGATTCAGTTAAATTAACTTTGTAATAATGTTGGTAGAATTACGCAATATGTAAAGTAAAGGACACAAGTGCAACTAATGTGACATTTTATTGTGGCAACGTTTCACTCTCCAGGAGCGTAGCGGCTTGACAAAGCTCCTGGAGAGCGAAACGTTGCCACAATAAAATGTCACATTAGCTGCAGCTGTGTCCATTTACCTAACGTTTTGTCAGTAATTCTACCATTATTACTGAAAAAACTTTGCATGGGCCACCTTGCTGCATAAAATACAATACTACAAGTACAATACTATACTACATTCAAAACTAAAAGACAAACAAAATCAAATTGTCGTTAGGCGATCTCACCTTACACTGCCAACTCTGTCTGGGTTTTTTGCGAATGAGGACAGTTTTCTCAGGAACGCTGTCATCCACACGCCCATCAGCGAGTTGTAACAGACCCTTAGTATCCTTTACTCTGATATCTACATCAATACCTAAATCCAGAAGGCAACCATCCTCGTCAGTTTCTACTCCATGCCATTCAATATAGTGGTCAACCTGCAAGAATTACCAAGAAAAATATAAAAAGTTTTCCTTGTACTGTATACAGTGGACCCCCGGTTAACGATATTTTTTCACTTCAGAAGTATGTTCAGGTGCCAGTACTGACCGAATTTGTTCCATAAGGAATATTGTGAAGTAGATTAGTCCATTTCAGACCCCCAAACATACACGTACAAACGCACTTACATAAATACACTTACATAATTGGTCGCATTCGGAGGTAATCGTTATCGGGGGTCCACTATATATAAAGTTTATTTCTTTGTAAAGGTTACAATGTGTAATTACAATTTTGATTTGCTAAGTACAAAGATAGCCACTATCATGGTACACTTGGATTCCAATCTAGCCATACTCTTGGCTTGAAAATAATTCCACATGGTCCAAATCATCTAATGTTTCCTTTCTAGATTGTGGGTTAATAACAAACCACTCCAACCATAGTATTGTGATTTTTTTTTATTACTGCTGATCCCATAAACCCCCCAGGATTACTCCTCCTCACATTTATATATCATTTCCCTATTATTTACATAATTCTCCTCACTTTCTGGCACCAATGAATTTTCTAAGCTTCTGTTGTTCACTTCAATAGCGTGAATTTTTATCGTAAACAAGAGCAGAAAAAAACCCAAAAAAAAACCTATGACAAGATAAGTACCCAAGACTACGACTCACAAACATGTCCTAGCATTGAAGAAAAAGAACAAATTTGAATGATCTCTTAACGCATTACGGGGAAGGTAGGTTGATGGATTTTCGGTTTCCTAACACACAGAAACACAAAAAGTAGTAGTGAAGAGGGCAAGATCCAGCTCAGTGAGGTCAAAAGTCAGTGCCCAAGGCACTGGGCCTGGCAACCCCTGCTGTTCCTCATTTCCCCATTAGCAGACAAGAGACAAAAACACCCCGGGACACTTTTGTATCATCATTTGCAGTGACACTAAAATAAGCATGAAAGTCAGTACGGTAGAGGACACTGAAAAGTACAGGAAGACATAAACAGGGTTTTCCAGTGGGCAGTGGAAAACAACATGACTTCAATGGTGATAAGTTCCAGCTGCTTAGGTAAGGAAAGAATGAAGAACTCAAAGGGACACTATATACAAAACTCAAGAGGGTCACCAAATAGACGTAAGGAACACGTAAAAGACCTAGGAATAATTATGTCAGCGGACCCTTTTTTTAAAGACCATAACAAGACAAAGATCACGACAGCAGGAAATAAAGCCGATGGTGACATCTTTTCAAATTGCTAGTGCTCCCTCATTTTGAATATTGGTCAGTGCTGACGGCCCCGTTCAAGGCAGGAGAATATCAGAGCTGGACAAATACAGAGATCGTTTAGGCTCACACTGAGCCAATAAAGCACCTAAACTACTGGGAAAAACCTGGAAGTCTTGAACATGTACTCATTGGAGCGGAGGAGAGAGAGGTTTCATGATAATATTTACCTGGAAGGTACTCGAGGGCTTGGTTCCAAATCTGCACACTGCCATAACAACAACTGGAGTGAGAGATATGGGAGGAAGTGTAAAATAAACCCAGTGAGGAGCAGGGGTGCAGTGGGGACAAAAAAGGGAACACTGATCAACATCCGGGTCCCAGACTTTTCAACATCTTACCAGAAGATATCAGAAACACTGCTGGAACCAGTGTAGAAGCCTTCAAGAGGAAATAGACAAGTATCTTCACCAGGGGCCCGATCAACCCCGGGTGTGATGGATATATGAGGCAGTGGGCCTCCAGCAGCAACAGTCTGGTTGACCAGGCAAGCACCAGACGAGCCTGGCCCATGGCCGGCTCAAAGAATAGATATACAGTAGACCCTTGCCTAACGATATTAATTGACACCCGAGACCGAATAACGTTAGGCGAGTTTTTTTTTTTGCGTTAGCCAAGGCAAATGTTAGGTTAAATGCATCGTTAGCCGAATTTAACTTAGGCGATGCCATCGTTAGGTGGGATCCATTTTACTCTCGAAATTCTTTAAAGGTATATCAAGGTATTAACACCACCAACAGAGAAAACACAAGATTATCGTTATAAATAAAATACAGAAGAAAAAGTATCAAGACAGAAAAGTAAATTTTTTCAGAGAGGAAAGAATGTGCTACAATCACGGAAATTTGTTACAACTACGTAATTTCTTACTCCCGCTGAACTTGACTACCTGTAGGCCTACTGGAGAGGACTTGGCTGTACTAGAACACTTTGCACTTCAAGATGAGGAAACATCAATCTATTATTTAAAATAACATAAATAAAAAATACAGTGGACCCCCCGGTTAACGAACTTTTTCATTCCAGTAGTATGTTCAGGTGCCCCGTACTGACCAATTTTTTTCCCCTAAGGAATATTGTGAAGTAGATAAGTCCATTTCAGACCCCAAACATACACGTACAACGCACTTACATAAATTCACTTACATAATTGGTCGCATTTGGAGGTGATCGTTAAGCGGGGGTCCCTGTAATATCCTTTACTTTTGTTTTGGCATATCAAAGATACGATAAGAGTAAATAGAGTAAAGAGTTTAACTTAATTAAACCCCTAAATTCATGTGCCTCAATTATCCAAAGATTCTTGTGAACATAGTACAGTAGCTGATTATTCTTGGTTCTTTGCAATGCCCAATTTTGTTTTTGAAAGGGATGGAGGAGGCATAGTGCATGGCCCCCCAAACTGAAAGTTATTCATAGGATTTTGTTCAAAATTTTAATAGTAACCATTTTAGATTACAGCCATAAATACACATTGGGCGACTTCTGAAAAAAAAAGTGATTTTCATTTGAATCTTTTTTATTGTGGAAATACAATTTTTGTGGGACAGTGGACCCCGCTTAACGATCACCTCCAATGCGAACCAAATTATGTAAGTGTATTTTGTAAGTGCGTTTGTACGTGTATGTTTGGGGGTCTGAAATGGACTAATTTTACTTCACAATATTTCTTATGGGAACAAATTCGGTCAGTACTGGCACCTGAACATACTTCTGGAGTGAAAAAATATCGTTAACCGGGGGTCCACTGTATTTATAAATTTTGAATTCATAAGAACCTCCAGGAACGAAATCCTTGTTGAAATACAGTACATCACTACTACTGTACAGTGATATTTTTTTTCAGCACTTTGGCCATCTCTCACCGAAGCACGGTGGCCAAAAAAAGAAACAATCACTATCATTCTACCCTTTTGCCATCATTCAAACATAACCACTGTCTTTTAAGAAATGCCCAGATATGACAGTTAAGATGTCACTCCAAAACAGCAAATATCCCAAACCCCTCCTTTAACCTTTAAGGTGCAAGCAATGTGCTTCCCACCTCCAGGAATCAAGACTGGCTAACTGGTTTCTCTGAATCCCTTCACAATATTTTACCCTGCTCACACTCCAACAGCTCGTCAAGTCCCGAAAACCATTCGTCTCCATTCACTTCTATCTAACATGCTCACCATGCCTGCTGTATGTCCAAGCCCCTTGCACACAAAACCTTTCACTCCCCTCCCTCCATCGTTTTCTAGGATGATCCCTACCCCTCCTCCCCTCTACTACAGATTTATACCCCCTCCAAGTCATCCTATTTTGGCCCATCCTCTCTAAATGACCAAGCTACCTCAACAACCCATCCTCAGCCCTCTTGAATAATACTTCTGGTAACTCCACACCTCCTAATTTCCACACTACGAATACTCTGCATAATATTCACACCACACATTGCCCTCAGACACATTTCCACTGCCTCCAGCCTCCTCCTTGCTGCAGGATTTACAACCCATGCTTCACACCCATTTAAGTGTGTTGGTACCACTATACTCTCATACATTCCCTTCTCTGCTTCCATGGATAATGTTCTTTGCCTCCACAGATACCTCAATGCACCACTCACCTTTTTTCCTTCATCAATTCTATGGTTTAACTCATCCTTTGAAAACCCATCTCCTGACAAGTCTACACCTAAATATTTGAACACATTTCCTTCTTTCATACTCCCTCTCTCCAATGTGATATCCAATTTTTCTTCACCAAACTTGTTTGATACCCTCATCACCTTACTCTTATCTATGTTCACTCTCAACTTTCTTCCATTACACACCCTCCCCAACTTGTCCAGTAAACCTTTGCAACTTCTCTTTACAATATCCGAAAATCACAGTATTATTTTTTTTTATTTTATTATCACACTGGCCAATTCCCACCAAGGCAGGGTGGCCAGAAAAAGAAAAACTTTCACCATCATTCACTCCATCACTGTCTTGCCAGAAGGGTGCTTTACACTACAGTTTTTAAACTGCAACATTAACACCCCTCCTTCAGAGTGCAGGCACTGTACTTCCCATCTCCAGGACTCAAGTCCGGCCTGCCGGTTTCCTTGAACCCCTTCATAAATGTTACTTTGCTCACACTCCAACAGCACGTCAAGTATTAAAAACCATTTGTCTCCATTCACTCACAGTATTATCAGCAAAAAAGTAACCTGTCAACTCCCATTTTGTATCTGATTCCCCATAATTTAATCCCACCCCTCTCCCCAACACCTTAGCATTTATTTCTTTTATAAATCTATCTATAAATATGTTAAACAAGCATGGTGACACTACACATCCCTAAAGTCTACTACTATTGCAGAATGTCTGCTCACAACTATCCAATCTCCCTTCCAAGCTACCCAAGATTTTAGACTCTATAACCCCACCTGGTAGATCATCAGATGCAGCATTTTCCACCTGACCTCAACATTCTGAACCTGACTATAAATACTCGCGTGCCTTCCACCCCAGGTAGATCTGTTTGTGACTTGAAAAAGCCCACTGTGTGGGCGAAACGTTGTCAATAAAGGATCACATTAAACTGCATATGTGTTTATGTTCCCTAAGGTCTACTTTTACTGGGAAGTAGTCTCCCTCTCTCCTACACATCCTGAGCCTCACTATCCTCATAAAAACTCTTTACAGCATTTAGTAACTTACTATTCCATACACTTGCATCATCTGCCACACTGCTCCTATATCCACACAATCCACCTTTTCTAAATCTATAAATGCAATGAAAACTTCCCTACCTTTATCTAAATATTGTTCATTTATATGCTTCAATGTAAGCACTTGGTCTACACATTCCCTACCCATTTTAAAGCCCCCTTTTTTTTTCATTTGCAATCCTGCTCTTTGTTTTACCTTGAATTCTTTCAATAATAATCCTACCATATATGTTACCTGGTATACTCAGTCAACTTATTCCACTATAAATTTTACACTCTCTTTTGTCCCCTTCCTTTTATATAAAAGAACTATACATACTTTCTGCCAATCCCGAGGTACCTTCCCCTCTTTTCATACATTTATTGAAGAAAAGTACCATATTAATTTTATTATTATTATTAACATACTGGCCGATTCCCACCAAGGCAGGGTGGCCCGAAAAAGAAAAACTTTCATCATCATTCACTCCATCACTGTCTTGCCAGAAGGGTGCTTTACACTACAGTTTTTAAACTGCAACATTAACACCCCTCCTTCAGAGTGCAGGCACTGTACTTCCCATCTCCAGGACTCAAGTCCGGCATGCTGGTTTCCCTGAATCCCTTCATAAATGTTACTTTGCTCACACTCCAACAGCATGTCAAGTATTAAAAACCATTTGTCTCCATTCACTCCTATCAAACACGCTCACGCATGCCCGCTGGAAGTCCAAGCCCTTCGCACACAAAACCTCCTTTACCCCCTCCCTCCAACCTTTCCTAGGCCGACCCCTACCCCGCCTTCCTTCCACTATAGACTGATACACTCTTGACATCATTCTGTTTCGCTCCATTCTCTCTACATGTCCGAACCACCTCAACAACCCTTCCTCAGCCCTCTGGACAACAGTTTTGGCAATCCCGCACCTCCTCCTAACTTCCAAACTACGAATTCTCTGCATTATATTCACACCACACATTGCCCTCAGACATGACATCTCCACTGCCTCCAGCCTTCTCCTCGCTGCAACATTCATCACCCATGCTTCACACCCATACAGGAGCGTTGATAAAACTATACTCTCATACATTCCCCTCTTTGCCTCCAAGGACAAAGTTAAGTGAAAAGTACCAACCACTCCAAAACTATATCCCCACCTGCTTTTAATATTTCTGTAATGATCCCATCAGTTCCAGCTGCTTTACCTCCCTATCATTCTACCCAATGCCTCACGCACCTTCCTCACACATCTGTTTCTTCTCCACTCCTAAAAAATATCTCCCTGGCCAATATATGAAATTCCTGCTTCCATCTCTTCATCAACATTTAAAAGTTCCTCAAAATATTCCCACCATCATCCCAATACCTCCAACCCTTATTCTGTTTGTAACTTCAAATCCATTTGCTGCTTAGGCTTTCTTAATCTATTTATTTCACTCACAATTTTTTTTTCTTATTCTTAGCAAAATTTTTTGACAGCACTTCGCCCACTCTATCATCTGCTCTCCTTTTGCACTCACTCACCACTCTCTTCACCTCTCCATATACTCTACCCTTCCTATATCACTTCTGCTTTGTAAAAACCTTTCATGAGTAACCCTTTTATCTCTTATCACACCCTTTACTTCATCAATCCACCAATCACTCCTCTTTCCTCCCACACCCACCCTCCTATTAGCCACAAATTTCTGTCCCACATTCTAAATCTACATTTTTAAAACTATCCCACCCCTCTTCAACCCCCACACTACCTATACTCTCACTAGCCCATCTGACAGTGATGGAGTGAATGATGGTGAAAGTTTTTCTTTTTCGGGCCACCCTGCCTTGGTGGGAATCGGCCAGTGTAATAATAAAAAAAAAAAAAAAAAAAAAAAAAAAAAAAAACATAAGAACAACATAAGAAAGGAGGAACACTGCAGGAGGCCTGTTGGCCCATACTAGGCAGGTCCTTTACAATTCATCCCAATAACAAAACATTTGCCCATTTTCAATACTTAGAAAAATGCTCTCTTTAAAATGGCAAGAAAAAATATTTTATTTTCCAAATTTGATTACACATTTTTTTTTATGTTTAAGGGTTAATCATGTGGGGAGCTTAGGAGCTCTGTCTTGTCTATAAACTCGAAGGTTATGAAATTGTTAGATGGGGAAAGGAGGCCAAAAAAGAGTACCATCTGAGAGGGAAGGATGAAAGCTCTTAAAAAGGTTAAAAGGAAATACCTTTAAATAACCATTATAGTAAACCAGTCTCCTGAGGTACATATAAACAGAAAAACATTATAAGCATAGGTGAAGCTTGTAAACATAAGAGTGACATTCAAAAATTCTGACAGACTTGTTCAAGGCACTTTATACCTCACATGCAACCCATTCTTGTGTACAATGAGCAGCTGCAGGACCCCCACCTAGTTAAACACAAAGTGAAATATGGAAATGCAAAGGAAAGCAACAAGACTGGTGTTTGACCAGAAGGGAATGAATTATGGAGAAAGACTGCAAGAACTAGGTACTACTGGAAGTGTAGAGAGACTATGAGCACATAATAAATTACAGTGCACCCCCGCATAACGATTACCTCCGAATGCGACCAATTATGTAAGTGTATTTATGTAAGTGCGTTTGTACGTGTATGTTTGGGGGTCTGAAATGGACTAATCTACTTCACAATATTTCTTATGGGAACAAATTCGGTCAGTACTGGCACCTGAACATACTTCTGGAGCGAAAAAATATCGTTAACCAGGGGTCCACTGTACTGTACTCTGGGGTACAGACAAGGAAAAGCTCATTACCAGCGATGAAGCAAGAACAAGGGTACACAGTAGAAAATTACATACCAAAATAACCAACAGGTGTAGTAAGAAGTACAGTATTTTGTCAGAGTAAGAGAGGTCATTCTCACACTTGATCAATACAAAAATTGAGATTAAGACACATGTGCAACATCTGGGTATCTTTATTGTAGACATTTCGCCATCCAGTGGCTTTATCAATACAAATTATACAAGTTATGTCCTAGAATTTGTATTGATAAAGCCACTGGATGGCGAAACGTCTACAATAAAGATACCCAGATGTTGCACATGTGTCTTAATCTCATCTTGTCGGTATTATATACCATTCGTACACAATACAAAAATTCTAAAACTTCAAGTCTTCAAGGACTATATTAACAAAATCCCAGAATACGCAAACTGATATGCCAAAATGTAGGAGGGAAAGTCCCTATGAATCTTATTATTTAATATATTGGATGCCTACATTTTAGGACGTGCAAAATGTTGCCGGCATCACAACATTCAATATTACAATTACAGAGAAAATGTAAAAGACTAACAAGAATTATTTTAGTCAAAATTCCAAAGTGGTATAAACCTTGGTAATAAATACCAACAAGTTGGTTTAGAAAGACACATAAGCAAACACTATGACATATTTATTAGAAAACGTTTCGGTCAAGTGATCAAGGTCCCAGGACCGAAACGTTTTCTAATAAATATGTCATAGTGTTTGCTTACGTGTCTTTCTAAACCAAAATTCCAAAGTCTCTACAAACCTTGAAATACATACTGCAATTGCTTCACTTGAGAAAAAAAAAAAAAAATTCAATATAGTTTAACAAAGGTTGTCAGAGCATCATCAAGTACTGATGGCAAAACTGCAAATAGTTTACAAGATATAATAGGGAGATGGAGTATAGCTCACCATATCTTCCTGAGTAGCTAATTCTTCACCACAGAAGCCACACTCCAAGGCCGAGTCTTCAGCATTCTCCCGTTTCAAATTTCCTTGGATACTTTCTTTCAAACCTTAGATCAAGAAAGCAATGAATGAAAATATAATTTAGAAGTACAGAAAGGAAAATTATAAGGCATTGCCTAAATCATGTATAACTTCCAGTCTTCATGACAATTTATATCTGGGCTAAAATTCTTTAAAAGCCAAGAGATAGAGACTGTATCAGGTGCATAAACTAAAATATGAATGATGTAGTTAAATAAAAACGAATACATACAACTACCCACTGCCAGCGCTGGGTAGAATGAAAGGGGGTAAAGCAGCTGGGATTGATGGGATAAAGATAGAAATGTTAAAAGCAGGTGGGGATACAGTTCTAAAGTTGCTAGTGCTCTTATTGGCAGAGAGGGTGCATAGTTCTTTTGTATAAAGGCAAAGTGGACAAAAGAGAGAGCAAAATTATTGGGGAAGAAGTCTGTTGAGTTCTACGTAGTAGGTTGGTAGACAGCAACCGCCCAGGGAGGTACTACCGTCCTGCCAAATGTGTGTAAAACAAAAGCCTGTAATTGTTTTACATGATGGTAGGATTGCTGGTGTCCTCTGGTGTCTCATAAACATGTAAGATTTCAGGTACGTCTTGCTACTTCTACTTACACTTAGGTCACACTACACATACATGTACAAGCATATATAAGCCCCTCTGGATTTTTTCTATTTTCTTTCTAGTTATTATACTTGTTTATTTCCTCTTATCTCCATGGGGAAGTGGAACAGAATTCTTCCTCCGTAAGCCATGCGTGTTGTAAGAGGCGACTAAAATGCCGGGAGCAAGGGGCTAGTAACCTCTTCTCCTGTATATATTACTAAATGTAAAAGGAGAAACTTTCGTTTTTCCTTTTGGGCCACCCTGCCTCGGTGGGATATGGCCGGTGTGTTGAAAGAAAGAAAGAAAGAAAAAGAGAAACTTCTCTTTTTTTTTGGGGTGGCCACCCTGCCTTGGTGGGATACGGCCAGTTTGTTGAAAGTAGTAGTAGTTGTAGTCTGTTGAGTATACCTGGTAAAGAGTATGGTAGAGTTATTATTGAAAGAATTAAGAGTAAGATGGAGAGTAGGACAGCTAATGAATGACATGGCTTTAGGAAGGGTAGGGGGTGTGTAGACCAAGAGTTTACAGTGAAACATATAGGTGAACAGTATTTAGTTAAGGGTGAAGAAGTTCTGTGGCATTTATGGATTTGGTAAAGGGTGGATAGGGGGGCAACGTGGCAAATGCTGCAAATGTATGGAATAGGAGGTAGGTTATTGAAAGCGGTAAAAAGTTTTTACAAGGATAGTGAGGCTCAGGTTTGAGTATGTAGGAGAGAGGGAGATTATTTCCCAGTAAAAGTAGGCCTTAGACAAGGATGTGTGATGCACCATGATTGTTCAATATATTTATAGAGGGGTTGAAAGAGAAGCGAATGCTCGGGTGCTGGCAAGAGGTGCGGGGTTAAAAGACAAAGAATTTAACACAAAGTGGGATATGTCACAGCTGCTCTTTGCTGATGACACTGCTTTTGGGAGATTCTGAAGAGAAGTTGCAGAGGTTGGTGGATGAGTTTGTTAGGGTATGTTAAAGAAGAAAATTTAAAGTGAATATAGGAAAGAGTAATGTGATGAGGATAACAAAAAAAATTAGGTAATGAAAGACTGGATATCAGACTGGATGGAGAGAGTATGGAGGTGAATGTATTCAGATGTTTGGGAGTGGATTTGTCAGCAGATGGGTCTATGAAAGATGAGGTGAATCATAGAATTGAAGAGGGAAAAAAGGCGAGTGGAGAACTGAGGAGTCTGTGGAGACAAAAAACTTTGTCTATGGAAGAAAAGAGGGGAATATATGAGAGTATAGTTATACCAACACTTTAATATGGGTGCAAAGCATAGGTAGTGAATGTTGCAACAAGAAGGCTGGAGGCAGTGGAGATGTGTCTGAGGCAACATGTGATGTGAATATAATGCAGAGAATTCGTAGTTTGGAAATTAGGAGGAGGTGCAGGATTACCAAAATCCAGAGGGCTGAGGAGGGGTTGTTGAGGTGGTACGGACATATAGAGAGACTTGAACAAAATAGAATGACTTCGAGAGTGTATAAATTTGTAGTGGAGGGAAGGTGGGGGTAGAGGTTGGCCTAGGAAAGGTTGGAGGGAGGGGGTAAAGGAGGTTTTGTGTGCAAGGAGCTTGGACTTCCAGCAAGCATGCATGAGTGTGTTAGATAGGAGTGAATGGAGACAAGTGGTTTTTAGGACTTGACGTTCTGTTGGAGTGTGAGCAGGGTAATATTTGTGGATTCAGGGAAACCGGCAGGCCGGACTTGAGTCCTGGAGATGGGAAGTACAGTGCCTGCAGTCTGAAGGAGGGGTGTTAATGTTGTAGTTTTATAACTGTAGTGTAAGCGCGCCTCTGGCAAGACAGTGATGGAGTGAATGATGAACATTTTTTTGGGGGGCCACCCAACCTTGGTGGGAAAAGGCCGATGTGTTAATAAAAAAAAATACAACTACAGAATATGTAAAGACAAAAGAATATTTTATTTTATTAACACACTGGCCGATTCCCACCAAGGCAGGGTGGCCCGAAAAAGAAAAACTTTCATCATCATTCACTCCATCACTGTCTTGCCAGAAGGGTGCTTTACACTACAGTTTTTAAACTGCAACATTAACACCCCTCCTTCAGAGTGCAGGCACTGTACTTCCCACCTCCAGGACTCAAGTCCGGCCTGCCCTTTAAATGAAGGCACTGTATTAACCCTTTGAGGGTTTCGGACATGCTAGTACATCTTACGCGCAGGGTTTTTTGACGTACTAGTACGCATAAATTCTAGCGCCATCAAATCTCGCGGGAAAAGGCTGGTAGGCCTCCATATGAAAGAATGGGTCTATGTGGTCAGTGTGCACAGAATAAAAAAATCCTGCAGCACACAGTACATAATGAGAAAAAAAAAACTTTGACCGTTTTTTTGGAATAAAACAGCAAATTTGCACTGTATTTTCGTATGGTATTTATCGTTGTATTCTAGTTTTCTTGGTCTCATTTTATAGAATGGAAGGCATATCACAGAAATTGAGATGATTTTGACTGGTTTTACAATGAAAAGTACCTTGAAATTGAGCTCAAAATAGCAGAAATGTTCAATTTTTACCAAAGTTCAAAAGTAAACAAATCATGCCAAGCATCCAATACATGTCAACTGGCGAGTCTAATATTCTTTTGCAAGTACGCCAATATGATTTATACCATTTTTTACACTAATGCAGTAGTCTGCATAATAGTAAATTTTCTATTTTTTGTGAGAATAAAAATTCAAAGTGGAAAGCAAAAGAATGTAAGAGGGGCCTTGAGACGTGAATAATGAACAGAGGAAATGTCATTTTAGTGCCAGGAATGTATTTCTTGTTTGTTCTGGACCCTATTCGGAAATTGGCATTTTTTGAAATTTGTGTGAAATTGGCAAAATTGCTATATTCTGACCACTGTATTGGATAGTTGAAAATTGTAAATGGGTGGTTTCTTGCACTTATTCAATAGAAAAAATGTAGTTCTAGCGAAATATTCATGTTTTTTGTCGAATAGTACAGTGGAATTGGCCGAAAATGGGGCTCAAAGTGGGCAAAATCGCCGATGCGTAAACATCGCCGAGACTGCTAACTTCGCGAGAGCATAATTCCGTAAGTTTTCCACCAAATCTCATAATTTTGGTGTCATTATGATCGGGAAAAGATTCTCTATCTTTTCATGGTTTTTTTTTTTTTTAATTTAGCAGACCCTAAGAACGAGTTTCTGAGAGGGCCTGTCGACCCTCAAAGGGTTAATAAATGAGAAGTAGCATGACTGCCCAGGCATATACAGTAGTGAAGACAACAAATATAAGATTCTAGGGATATTCTACATAGTTTCCTGCATTAATTTTTCATCAAATTCTTTAACAACATTTAAATAAATATGGCAGTGGTCGCCGTTGCCCAGCGGTGAGAGTAGCGACTCTCATTGCTGACGTGCAGGTAATAAACCCTGGACATTAACATAAAAAAAAAATGGCATTTGTTATTAAGTAGGCACTTCAGTGGGCCATGTTCATTTCATCAATAAAGTATCAAGACTGATAAGCAAGTACAGTACTGTATATGGGTGAATCAAGGTCACACTGCAAAACAAGTGTAGACTTGTGGAACTGTAGTGAGCAGAAGAATTCAGGTAAATAAAAAATATTGAAAGTGCACAATGTAAAAGAAAAAGTGGGAAAAAATTAAAAACTCAGTCATGAACATTAAAATGGTATGAAATACCGACAGATTGTTAGGTAAGACACATATGCAACAGTTAGGTATCTTTATTTCGAAACGTTTTGCCTACTCGACTGAAGAAGCCTACTGTGTAGGCGAAACGTTTCGAAATAAAGATACCTAACTGTTGCATATGTGTCTTACCTAACAAAACTCAGTCAATAGACAAACAGTGGACCCTCGACCAACGATGGCATCGTCTAATGTTAAATCCGACTAACGATACATGTTAACGCAAACATTTTGCCTCAACTAACGCTAAAAAAACTCAACTAAAGATATTCGTACTCGGGTACCAATTAATATCGTTAGTCGAGGGTCCACTGTATAGTTATAAGGATTTAAAGGAAGAAAGGTGTAAAGAAAGAACATACAAAGACTCGTTAAGAAACAAAGGATATAATCAAGGAAGACAGAAACAGAGAACAAAGGTAGACCATTTACACCACTCATCATTATTGCCTTGAAAGACAATGAGCCTTACCAAAGAGTTGCTGAAGCTTGCCTAATTTAACCCGTAAACGGTCCAAACGTATATATACGTTCACTACCGTACTGCCCCAACTTTTTTGAGAAAAAAAAATTGTTGTTTTTTAATAGGAAAAAGGAGCATATGGTACCCAGGCATCCCCAATTATTTTAATATGGCGCACAGTGAGTGCTCACACCCATTCTCACATGTCTAGACGACTCATTCTTATTGTAGCAATGTTAAATGTAGGACACATAAAACGAATATATACGTT